TCTCAAGCCCCCTCTGTCCCTCAGGCAAAAAGTGAACCCAGGTGGGTGACTAGGACGCAGATGTGGTTAGATCTTTAGGGGCCTGGAGCAGGTTGAAATAAGATTGGTAGGAAACCAAACACCTACTTATTAGAACAGTGGAAACAGTTGTGAGCTGGCCAATGCTTCCTGCGGCCCCAGAAGAAGGAGATAAAGGGGAAACCCAGGATGCAATCGGGAGGCCCATCCTGTCCAGCTGGAAGACCACCTGGCTGTGCCAACCTTCTGAGAAGAGGGAGGAGATAGCCTTTGGAAATTTGAATAGGAGGAGGGCTGAGGAACCCGTCTACAGGGGACAGATGGGGACTGGAGGCAGCATGCGGAATTGGCTGTCCACTGGTCCCCTACAAATGTCCAGCGGGTCATGGCCTAGTAGACACGGGGCAGAGTGTACATTCCTGTATGGAAACCCTGACAAGTTTCTGGGGCCTATAATGATGGTTACAGGGAGCTCAGTGTGAAGGTGAAGGCTGTGTAGCTCTCCCTGAGTATTGGGCAATTGCTCCCCACCGCCACCGTGAATATACTGTTTATGTGTTCCCCATTCCCAAGTATATCCTGGGCACTGTTGTGCTCCAAGGATTGTGGCTGCAACCACTGCAGGGGACTTCTGCTTGAGAATTCAAGTGGTAAAAGCCATTCAGCAGGGGCATGCCAAACATTCCCCATTCAGCTGCCCTCTCCACGATGAGCGACAGCAGTTAAGCAGTACCAGCAGCCTGGGGGTTGTGAGGAGATTACGGCAACTCTAGGAGAGTTGGACAAGGTGGGGATAATTAGGGGCACCCACAGTCCCTTCAACTCCCCCATGTGGCCAGTGCAGAAGCCACATGGCATGTGGAGAATGACAGTAGATTTATCGGAAACTGAAAAAGGTCATTCCCCCAATATATGAAGTGATCCCTGCTGTGGCAGACTTGATGGACCAGTTAACCAATGAGCTGGGAATCTACCATTCTGTGGCCAATCTGGCAAATGCCTTTTTCTCCATTGATATTGCTCTGGAGAGTCAAGAGCAGTTTGCTTTTACCTGGGAAGGCCAGCAATGGACCTTTACAGTGCTCCCTCAGGGGTATTTGCACAGCACGACCATCTGTCACAGGCTTGTAGCGGAAGACCTGGCTAAGTGGCCACAGCCCACAGTGCACCTTTTTCATCACATTGATGACATTGCTAGCTAGTGATTCTCTTACAGAATAAGAAAAGGCAGTATCACAAGTGCTGTCACACCTGAAGTCATGTGGCTGGGCAGCCAATGAAGCCAAGATGCAAGGGCCTGAATTATCTGTCAGATTTTGGGGGGTTGTCTGATCAGGTGAGACAAAAGTAAGCCCTGGTGCGGTAATAGACAAGATTCAGGTGTACCCTACCTCAACCACTGTGAAGCAGCTCCAAATGTTTTTAGGCCTGCTTGGGTGCTAGAGAGTGTTCCTACCCCACCTCACTCAGGTTATTCATCCCTTAAACACTTTGGTAAAAAAAAAAAAAAAAGAGCAAGATGGGACTGGACCCTGTCTTTGGAACAAACATTCCAAGGAGCAAAGCGCATCATTAAATGTGCTCAGGCCTCGCATGCTTTGGATCCTGCCAGACCTTGTGAGCTGGATGTGCATATCACACAGGAAGGCTTTGGGTAGGATCTTTGGGAGCAATTGGAGCAGTACGGCAACCTCTGGCAACACCAGTGGAACAGTGCACATTCCTTATGAAACATGACCTGGACTGACATCTACGATGGGGCAGAGCAGCAGTATGACCGGCCCTGGCCATTAGTTGGCTACACCATGTGGGATGACTCAGGCTGGCTCCCAGCTGAGGCAGTGGAGTTGGCTGGACCAGCCTTCCTGTCTATTGAGAACCTCAGAGGACAAGCCCAAGTGGGCTGGACTCCGATAGGTCTGTGTCAGAAGCATATTCTTAAGCATTACGGGGAGGTAAGGAATAATGCATGGGCTGCAGTTCCCACTGGCACCCTCTGGGTGTGTGGCTCACATGGGTGGCCTTACTTGCCCAGAAATTGGACTGGCCATTGACCCTGGGGGTGACCTTATTTGCCTACCCAAGTTCAGAGAACTCTCACAATCCGACCAGTCAATTGGGAAGCATTTCAGGCATAACACCAGGTACAGAGTACTGCTGGTTGTACTACCCATTAGACACTTTTTTCTCCTTAAGCTGCTTCTATAGTAACTGAGGCCAAAATAATTGCTTTGGCTTTGCACACCACTTGTGCTTTGAATACAACACATGGTTCCTTGATCCTCTTAAATGAGGAAGTATATCAACTGCAAAAAGCAGCCTTATAAAATCTCATGGCCTTAGACATGCTCACTGCATCACAAGGCAGGGTATGTGCCCTACTTGGGGCTGAATGCTGTGTATATGCTCCAGATGTCCATCACAGTGTTAGCCAAGCTTTATGAGCATTAGCTTCTGAGACCCATGCTATCGAGCTCCTGACAGGCGATCCCCGGCAGGAAGGGTGGGCATCCTTAACTACTGAATGGCAGTGAGTCCTTGCTGTCTTGGACAGCAGTGCTTGTGTTTTGGTTGTTTGCTGCTGCAGCTTATACTGCTGTTGTGACATTTGGGTGCAGGGCTCTGCCCTCCTCACCAAGGGACCCTCACGGAAGACACCCTCATGTAGATTGTATGGTGAAGAACCCTGAAGGGGTGGAATGCAGGGACAATGGAGTCAGTCAGCCTCCCTCACCAGGATATCTGGGTGACAATGGCTCAATAGTGTTCATACAACCATGATAAGGGCCTGCATGCAAAGAATCAAGCTCTGTTACATACCAAGTAATATCATATATTGGCACCCTGCCGGGTTTGTGTTCACTTAGTACGTGAGGGAGTCGGGAGTTTCAGCTGGCGCAGATCACCCCACCCCTGAATAAAGTCATGTCAGGCATCCCGAGGGCTCCACCTACTTTCTTCCAGCTGCCTGAGTCCCGCGTTAACCTGCCTGGTCCAGAACGAGTGCAGGACATGCCCATTGCAAAGTCAAGAGAGAATTCAAGTATAAAGTTGGTGTTTTCTGCTCATGTGGTTTATATTGAAAAATTGACATGAGAAAAGCTGACAAGAGCAAAATGGGCATGAGACCCTCGTTGATAATAAAAACATTATGTAAAAATATCAAGTAGCAACAATTTACATAAAACTCCCTCTCTCCAAACTGCACTCATCCCACTGTTTCGTCTGGCATCTCCTCCGCGGATAGGAGACCCCAAAGACAACAATACTCAGCTGGAAGTCTTGAGTTAAATCCTGGTGTGTTGCCTCATCAGCCTGTAACCTCTGATAAGCCACCTAACCAGTTCCTTGTGTGTAAAAAGAGTGAGCTGTCTCAGAGGCTGCAAAAACTAAACATGTGAGAGCACATAGCACACGCATGGCATATAGGTATTCTCTGAGTACTTAAGAGTCATTTTACCAATTGTTTTATATCATGACTCTAACTAATGAGCTTGGCCTTGCAAATGTAAAGGAAATAGGCCATGGTAAATCCACCCTATCAAGAGAACTAATCTATCACCAAGGTGAGAGAGCAGCATATTAAAAAATCACATTTGCATAGTAAATTGGGTCTGAAAACAGACTGGGTTTTTAATACAAACCAGCATATGTTGCCCAACAGAGTTCAACTATAGCCAGCTTCATTTTGAAAAGAACAATTTATTTCCACTGTTTTGACAATAGTCTCTGACCACCTAGCTAATCAGTATTCTTGTCATGCCATTCAAAAGATTCAAGATTGAAGCTAAGTCAATTTTGTATTATTTTCATTTGAAATAACTTTACCAAGAACATTCCTTGTACTTGTCCTCATAGTTATCAAATATAAAAGTACCTGACATGTCCAAACCTTATTTCATACAAACTGCTGACCCAGCATGGCATTTCTCATCATTGCTTTCTGGAACACAGGAAATTTGAAGACTGAATGGCCAAAGTAAATTAGGATGACCCAGCCTCTAAAGAAATCTGAGTTATTTAAAGAAGGAAAAACAAAATTATGTCTGAATAGATAATTCGTGATTCAGACAGCCTAGTATTTAATTGGTATTAACTACTCTACTGAAGATCTATTTAATGCACTTAGGCAAGACTTTTTATTTCCATGAAATTGGATCTTTGGTTCAAAATTTAATCTCCTACGAAGGACTCTGCACTATGTAGGTGACGTAACACTGAGGTAGGCTCTTAATATTTCATTGCCAGGAATATAAAAGAAATTGATCAGATTATTTGCCAAATAACATTGCTTTAGCAAGACAAAGTCATTGTCTAAGTGGGCTGTCAAAGAGAAACGATATAGCAGACCCTATTACAGTTGTCTTTTCCAGCTTAATCTTCCAGACCTCAAATTCAGCCATGAAAAAGATCAGTGCATTAAAAGTTGATTTAATATATAGTTTATTAATTTATAGGACCTTTGTCTGAATGAAGTAATAAGCAAGGCCTCTGATATTTTGGCAAGGCAAAATATGGACCAAAGTAAAAGATACAAGATGTATCATTGAAACAACATGAGATTCTTTCAGAATATTCTCACTGTCATTCATGACATTTGTAATTATGGAAAAAAATCCTAATTACAATTTTATAGAACACAAAATTCTCAAGAAACAACCTTCTTTCTTTCTCTTTTAATGAAGTTTTCCAAAATTGTTCTGAAGGAAGAATGTACTCTGCCCTATCTGTGGCTATTCACGCAAACTACCTCTGCGTTCCCAGGGCACCGCAGGGCAGAATTCTCTGTTCAGTTCAGGTTCATAGGAGTCAGTGACCTGTTCAAACAGGTAAACAAATATGAAATGACATGATGACCAATGCTTTCTAAAAATCTTAGCCTAAAAGTGTAAGTCAACAACAATGATGAGAGGTGGGTATGTACAAAAATTCCAGCAAGTCCTTCCTGCCAGAGATGAAGGAGATTAATCAAACCATTGAAATGCTAAGGTAGGAGAATGAGTTTATTCAAAAGTATTTACTGAGCCCTTGCTGTGTTCCAGGTACTATTTTAGATGCTGGGAATACATTCCTGTTACCTTTGTGCTTAGGAAGGATACAAGAAAATAAACACAATAAATAAGAAAGTTACACAGTAAGTTAGGTGATGAGTAGTATGAAAAAGAGAGAGAGAGACAGCAGTTATGAGAATGAAGATACGTCTTAGCTGGAAATTTTCTAAAACCAGAAAAGGAAAAAATAAGGTTCTTTCTTGCAAAGTCTCTATATCTGTAAATGACCAAAGGAAATAGTCCTGGCTCTTTAAAGTTCATGGGATTTTCACACAAGTAATAAGAGATTTTCAAAATAGGAAAATGGAATTGGAAACTAGGAAGAGTAACTTTCACAGAGCAGGCACTGGACACAGAGTTCCTGAGGAACCTGTGCCCGCCGCCCTGGCAGAACCCTCCTCGGTCCTAGCAGACCCCTGCGGTCTGGCCGCACTGCCAACCACAGTGGATCTGCAGACTCAAGTCTGTTGAGACAAGCAACTCGGGACAGAAGATGTGAAGAATTCAAAGTTTTTCAGAATTTTTTGTTTTATTTCCATTTCCACTTTTAATAGCACCCTACTTTTTAAATATTGTCTTATTCTATTAAAGAAGGGTGAGCTCCTTAAAAAGAAACACTGAAAAATGAAAATGTCCACATTTGCAACTCTACCTCACTCTCAAATTGTTCAAGATGCACACACATTTGTCGTATATTGGTAGACCCAGGTCTTTCAACACCAGCATCAGAGGTTGCCATCTCTAAACTACCAGGTAAATATTTTTCCCATTGCTTTAAATTCAAATTTCATTTCAACAAAGCAACCAAACAATTAATGTCTAGTTTTTGCCCTGAAGAGTTAGGCTCTCCAAGTAAAAGTGAGAATAGAAAATAAATGATGTCATTTTTTATTAGAAAGTCACATGTTCAGTAAAATAGGGCAGAGGCAAGAAGTCCAGGTTGTAGGGTCAGGAATAAGGAGTGTCTACCCAGAGGACACTGATAAATGCTTGACTATGACAGCAGCCCTGTCCAGAGGTAATAATGTCATTAGGTTGTGATAATTCTTCAGAAACCCCAACAGCCCTTGGATTAAAAACATCTAGAAATTGTTCAGATGACACAAATTCCTGTTTCCTGCTATTAAGGCTTCAGTGATGCCTCTTTGTGGCATCTGTCACCATTTTTTTCTTTGCAAGCCTCCTCCTTTCAAATTGGGAAGTGTACATAAAGTGCAAATCAGATTTACTCCCTCACCCGTGTTTCTGGGCTCTCATTTTGATAGATGGTATTACCAAATCTATCAATTAAACCGCTGGCCACAGAGGTCTTCTGCAGATATTTTCAGAGTTGAATAATGAGTTCATCTGGCAAAGAGAGTGTCCGAAGGTGGATACAGTCTTGGCAAGAAAACACCAAGTACCATTTGCAAGATAGGGATGTGAATGATGCAAGCAGTAGGGGGTTTGCTGGTCACCAATTCACTGAAAAGGGCTTCTTTGGATCTCAACTCTGGAAGAGAATTCAGGAACTATTGTATCAATGAACGAGGCCAGCGGAATTTGGAGCACAGTCAGTCTTCAGTGAGGGCAGATTCTGTTTTCCCTGGGTTGGGAACAGAAAGGAAAATGAAGAGGGTTAGGAGCCAGATCTGATGAGTTTAATATCATACATGTCATTCTCCGACTCACAGAACAGAACTGAGCAGAGTGCCTCCCGATCGGGCTTAGCAGGATGGGTTTTCTTAAGTGTTTGATAGGTACATAGTCCAAACGGGTCATGAATTAGATGATGTTACCTATGACTTTACTGCAGGATTTCTTAGATCAATTTTTCTTGGTCAATATGCCAGTGGGCACTGTGACTCTTCAAGACAGGAATACAATACATAATATTTCCCATATTTGGGAGGCAAGGAATTCACCTTCTCATAAACCACCTGGGCAAGGCTATCAGGACTAGTGTTTCAGTGCAACATACTGTGGGAAATGCTCCTTTACAATACTGGTTGGAGGGGAGAGGAATGTTATTAAGTCATATTCAGTTTATATTATACAAGCCCAGTTTTTATATTAGGAGTCATGGTCCAACACACATATAATGAATTAACCATCCTAGCTGGGTTCCATTGTATTTCCTTTGCGATGTGTCAAATCCTGGGCAACATTTAACATTATGCTGGATGGGTGAATATTAATAATAAAAAGTTAACAATTTCCCATCTATTATAAACTGTCATGCAATCAGTGGGCATTCAGAAAGGATATCCTTTACATTTTTCTGATTTTCCCAGCAGAGCTCAGGCTAAGGTTTCAGGATTAAGCCCATCAAGATGTCATTATATATGAAGGTAAGCCACAGCTGAGAATGAACAGAGTAGACTAGAATATATGTTAAAAAAATCTTGAATAGAAGTCAAGGATTGATTTGATCAAAAGTCACAGAAAATTACCAAACACATACTAGTTAAATTCCTGAATTTCCTTTTGGCTTCTGCCCTTTCATCAGCATCAAAGTACCAGACAGTCATAGCATATCTGTGAAAGATAAGCAGATGTTAGAAAAGAGGTTTAAAAATACTACCAATTTAAAAAAAAATGCATCCTACAACCCTCCCCTCAGTGTCATTTGTAAAGCCAACATTTAAAGTTTCCCTATTATTAGAAGTCCATCCCAATTTTAACTTAAAATAAACTTCTTTGGTTTCAATTCTATTTAAATGTAATAAAACATGTAAGGAATTCCAAGTATGCGCCAGACATCAATGGGGGGAATGGGAATTCAAATGACATGCGAATGTATCTGCCTCTTCCTCAGGGAGCTCAGCTTCCAGTTGGGGAGCCAGGTAATTTAACAAAAAAAAAATGTAACAGGCTGTGCAATGATCTGCATGGAAAGGACAAAAAGGGAATCATTCTGCTACAGACGGAGAGACCCACTTGGTGGGGAGAGCACAGAGAAGAGGAGGTGACATCTGAGTGAAGCTTTAAAGAATAACTTATTTAAATGACAGGACACATAAAACTCTTGGCATTCTTTCTTCAGTTTTGGACACCGAGCCAAAGGTGCAATGGAATAATAATGCCCTCAAGCTTTCTGCTGTGTTCTCATTAATAAGCTTTATCCTATCTGTGAGCTAGACTGGAATAGGAGTCCTTTTATGCATGAGTTTTCAAAAGTTTCATTTTATAACTATTATTAGCTACTGGAATTTCAATAGCACTTGATTTTTTCAATGGCTTCCCATCAACATTTGCTAATGTTTCCTGTGACTCCAGCCATCGAGGGCCTGTGGAACAAGGAGGGAATTCCAGCACAAATGACAGGGTTTAATTATTGGACCCCATTAAACAAGCCACAGGCAGGCTTTGGTGGTAGAATAGTTAGTTACCTGCTCACCTAGGGCACATTTGACATTTAATATGCAAGTCTGTGTGGGGCTCAGATCTGTGATTTCTGGAGAACACATAAATCTTAAGGACTTTACACATGTGAATGTAATTTAAGTAGGCTTGTTAAGGTTTAGTCAATATTCTTCTACCCATGTGCTCACCCCTTACCCCCAGCTGGTATTCCCAGTGCAAGCTGTACCCCACAGCACTCCAGGTCTGCCTGGTTTACAGCTGTGGCTATAAAACTAAGCAAATGAAAGACAGAATCCAAAATTAAGATTATATCAAGTTCCTAGATTAATACTAAACAACACTAAATGGATTGGATACACTGAAAATCTTCCTATGCATGACCTAAGGACAGAATTATTTTATATCCAATTGTTGGGATATGATTGGTACAGAGAGCCCAAACCAATTTTATGCTAAAGAAAGGGTTAAAAAGAACAGAACTCAAAACAAATTCTTCTTTCTTTTCTCAAAGTTCTATCTCTGCTTTCAACTGGCAACTCATAAACTCATCCAGAGTTGACCAGACAGAATTCCTGGTATGTGGTAGCTAACATTCTCAAGGAGTAGTAGTTCAGTGTTATGTTTTTGAAGGGAGGGATGGGAAAGAAAGGAGAGAAGAGAAAAACATTCTGGGAAATTTGGCATCCAATATGCTCATCTACAAACTGACATTAAATCTTGTATACTAAAGAATCCAAAGCTTCCACTTTAAGGAAAACTAAAATTTATTCCAAACTGGTTTGCTATCATCAGCTTTGGGGTGTAGATACTCCCTCATATGCATAGGACATGAATTAAGAGAATTCTCTGGGAACTGAGGTTTAGACAAGAAACTTCTCTTGAGGAATCCTGGCCCTGGCCATTACCTGGTTGCATAGGAAGGCTGGACTTCATGAGGGTTCCTGCGGTCTGACCAGAAGAACAAGAGTCTGTCAAAAATGGGCTCCACATCTGCTACAAACGATTTCCCTTCTGGAAATATCCGCAGGATGCCACCGTGTAGCTGAGGGCCACAAAGAAGGAAGATTATTTCCTGGCCTCACATGTAGCTAATTAACAATGACATTTAACATGTCTAAAAACAAAGCCATCTTCCAACCTCCACTCTAAGCATATATACTCCCAAATTTTTACTTCAGCCTCATGCTCTGTACTAAATTTTATTTCAGACTTGGCTAGAGCTGCTTCCTTATTCACCTCACACCAAAGAAAGCCTTCCCACCCCACAGTCGTGATGCCCATGGACCCAAAATGGAGTTCTATTAAGTCAAATCATATAGAATCACCAATATTCAGCAAATTCGACCAACAACCCCCCCCAGCAATTTCACATGGTTCAATCTAATATTAACAGCTTCCTAGGATAATAATTCCACATAACCTCCCCTCCAATTAGAGTTTACAGCTTCCCTCTGAGCTCCACTAGCTCCTATGTGGCCTTGTTAGTTGGAAGAGACATGCTCTTTTTTCCTGAGCTCTCAGATCCCCTTATCTATAACCTTTATTACACGTCTTTCTCTTTTCATTGAATTGCTTTTTTCATTTCACATGTACACCCAACCTGTCCTACCAGAATAACCATAGCAGGGTGGAATTCAGACCTCACACATCAATGTTCCCCCACAGCACAATGCCTGGCACTAGCCGGCATTCCAATATTGGTTGAATGATTTCATGTTTTGTAATATATTGTCACAAACCTGACAACTTTACTTGCTTGTCTGTAACAACACCTTTCAAGATTTTAAAGGATAACTAAGGGATCGATTCTAGTCATGTTACCAAATAGGGAGAAGAGACAAGCCTTGCCACCAATTCACTGGATTCCCAGGTTTAGTTTTCTGACCCCAGATAAAATATCCTAGCCCATGACCGCCAGCGTCTGCCCTAATAAACAGGAAATGGAGATGCAGAAGGTTCAAAGCCAAACAAGCTTACAGAGTTCTGACTTCTCAGGCTCCTAAATCGTCCTTAGTGTTCAGAAAGGACACACATTCCAGATAAATGTTTGTAAGTGTGGAACCAGGCTTCATATCTCTTTCTGTCTATATGTTCAAAAAAATTCAAAAATAAACCATAAAGCCTTTGGCATCCACAAACCATAGCAGGCCATGGCAGGCAGCCACCAATGAGATGTATCACCCCAAGAGAGAGGACTGTGTGGGAAACCTCGCCCGGGGATGGCTTTATATCCTACAGTTCTATTTTTGTGGAATTCTCTCAGTGTTGCTGCTGGAAGGGAAAAGTGTATATCTTATTCTGCACTAAGATTCTTGTCAGCTCTAGATTACACTAAAAGTGTCAATCCCTAAAATAGCAAATTACCTTCTCTTCATCGACCATTCCTTCCATATCCTAATAATGACCCAACTCCTCCATCACATTCACTTCATATTCATTTTTTTCATCTTATCAACTTTAGTACTAATACCATGGTGGGGGGAATATAAAATAGAAAAGATTCACCAGTGGGAATTATGAACTCCAAACTCTCCTGTAAGTCATCTGAATTCTTTTCCTCTCGTTTCTAACCCCACGCTCTCTTCCCATTATTCCAAAGTACCTTGGAATCCCAATTCTTGTTGAGATAGTAGATGCAGGTGATGCAGCGGCCGTCACCATTGGGGTTGTCTACATGTCGAACGTAACCTGTTCCATTTCCTGGGTAGCAAGCCACCATTGCCTATGAAGAAGAAATCCCAAGAAAGATGGTTAACAAAGCTGAGACAATCTTCTCCCGTTGATGAACAGCTGAGTAACATATTCTCCTTGGGTACTATGTGACACGAATGGGCACTGCTGGCATCTTAATTGCAAGTACAGTACATAAATTTGGACTCTTCGGCACACATACAAGATTCAATGGCCAAGTCATACCTATGGTGCAGCCCAATAGAAAGTGGTTTAACAATATTCCCAGAGTTGTAGAACATTTTAGGCAGTAACCCATATATATCTCATTAGGACACCCGCCTGCCGTTCTTCAATCCTCCTTTTTGAAATAGCGGGTTCTGGGTTCCTTCTCTAGATCTCCAAAATCAGAATCACTAGGCATGGAATTTAGGGATTATGCCCATTTAACAAGTTCCTCTGAGTCACCAAATTACCTACTGTCTTAGATCTAGGACTCAAGATACTTGCATTTACAAAGAGGTGGAAACCAATCACCAAGGAAGAGAAGGTCAGGCTTGCTCAAATGATTAGGGAAGAAGGAAGAGGGAGCAGTCAATGGGAAGCCATGTCCTAACTTGTGAGCAGAGAACCAGTCACATCTGGTTCATAGAAAAGGCCACAGACACATCTTATGTTTCCCAATGCTTGTCTTCTTCCTACTGATAATTATCAAATCAGATGATAACCTGAAGTTCTCTTCCTTTTCCCAAGCACTGCCTGTATCAGCCACGTGGAGGAATGAAGCAGAAAGCCATACTAAATATTCTACTGACTGTTACTGTTAAGTTACTATAAATTCTACTGAGAATTACTATTAAGAGGATAACAAACTCCTAATCCCGGGGTGTCCAACCCATGGCCCACAGGCCACATGACTCCCAGGATGGCTATGAATGCAGCCCAACACAAAAGCATAAATTCACTTAAAATATTACTTAGTTTTACTACTAAGTTTTATACTAAGTTTTATTACTTAGACATATACATTTTCTATATTAGTGATCAAAACTTGAGACCTGCTCAATGATTTTAAAAGATTATCAAAAGGGCTGCTGCGCAATTAGGGTTATTATGTGAGGACTTACACCTCTGCCCTAAGCGTTCCATGGAGAAATTATAGCAAGAAACAGGACAGCATAAGCAAAAGCTAGTTCTTTGCATGGACACTGCTATATTTCTAAGATGTTTTTATAGAGAAGAGATAGATGCAGAGAAGATATTGGAACTGGCAACATAAGATGAGGAAAGCGGTGTTTTTCCTGTTTCGGGCACTGATGTATTCTCAGTGCCCAGAATAGCACCTGACACATAGAACGTGTCTGTTTAAAATGTGATATAAACAAGCGAATGAGTTAGTGAATGACTCTTTCCTCTAAAGAGTACGTGCAATATGTGTACATTCTATCTAAATCAATATAGATTTCCATCATTTTAAAAACCTATCTTCCAATATACATGTAGCAATCCAGTTCGTCTTTTCTCCTATAAATGGCAGGATTGTTTTATTGGTAAAGTGATCAGTCAGGTAGAGGCCCAAACTAATGCACTAGAGTAGCTCAATGAATCAGCTTCAGTGCTATGGGTGCCAAGTCACTCCCAGTAGCAACATGAAGATGTGAACGAGGCATATAGCTTTACAGGCTTCACACACACACACACTGCATATTGACTTCATAAAAAACCATGTCTCTAAAACAATAATAAGGCTGAATGGTAACTGGGTTTTGTGGTGCTCTTAAAGCTTAAATCGCCATCTCTATCAAACTTTATATTCCTATGCAGCCAGCAATCCCCATACCCTACCCTACCTTTGAACATCTAAAATGTCAATGCAATGTCATCTAGGAGGTACAGTTAGGCTGTTAGTGTGAACATCTTTCAAAAGGTGGAATTTTGAGGCTACTGTAATCAAGATTTAACAAATGATGGTACCACCAAGCAAATAATGGCCCAGGGAAAGGTGATTGGTAGCAGACAGAAATGACGGGCCCAGCTGCAGAAGAAGAGATAAATGAAGTCACCTGTAATGAGAAGGGAATTACCTGTCCCTGGAAGCAGCTATTAGGATTATGAGAGCCACCACTGAGCCAATAATGAAAGTCATTTAAGCTACAAATAATTACCATCTCAGCCTCACCGCTCTGTGAATCCCTGAAAAGAAAAAGCACTCCATCGATGCTCCATAAACCTACATTCTTAAACAGCTCAATTCTAAGGAAAAGGTCAGTGGTCAGATGCCTGCCACCTAGTTCACTCTGCAACTAATTGTATTTCTTTTCTATAAAGAGGGCTTTGGTTACATGGCCTCTGACAGTCCCAGAAGATCTAAGACTCAATCTAAGCACTACCTCAGGAAAAGCAAGAGGGACAGTTCTCCAGGGCATTATGAATACATACCTGCCTCAGGACTCATCTTAGATTCAAATATTGAAAAAACAGATACAACTCACAAAAGTACATCCTTAATGAATTGCTGTATCTATCAAACACACAGAGAAAGAGCTAGCAAATTCCAGGGGACTTAGCAGGTGGACAGAGCCTCTAACAGTCAGCAAAGTATCTGATTGCTCAAGGAAGAGCAACAGAGAAAATTTCTCTGGCCAGAGTAAATCTTCACCCTTTCTCCTGATGGGTGAAGCCACTGCATCAAGTCGGAAACAATGGGAGGAAATCACTGTGGGCCTCAGTGGGCCTGTTCAAACCTCATACAGTCAATTTTATCAGTGCTTTCTGGACAACAGCCATAGGAGATTGGTCTCAGCTTGGGCACACTCCTGGCTATTTGCTGGTCTTTGGCACTGTCTAGAACCAGGAGGCTGACAACTCACTCAGGAGCAAGGATCACGTCAATAACAAGTCACTGATTTCTGTGCCAATTTGTGCACGGGACAGGAACAAACCCCGGAAACCGGCGGGGTCAACTGAGCGGCTGTTTAAACCTCATCAAGCCCGGGAAGGGATTTAGAATGTATAAAGGAGAGTGTTTCAGAACAACAACAACAGCGCCAAAGTACTTTCATTATCATGTGACAAACACGCCACACAATGATTTGGACACAGATCAGGAAGATGTCTCATTTATTACAGACTTCGTATTTGCCAAAACCTCCTGACTGGATTAATATTTGAAATGTCAGTGTGATCTACAGAAGCATATACAAGAGAGTCTTTTTGTTCCATTGCTGGATATGCAGATAAATCCACAAGTTCCCTTAAGCATTTACCATTCCTCCCTCTAACCCCAACGTGGAACCGCCCCCCACCCCACCCCCCGCACCACCCCCATCCTCAGAGGCCTCCCAACAGCTCCTTAGCCAAAGGAAAATTAGCTGAGGGATGAACCCCTCCCAGGCTCCCAGGCTGGCTCCAGACCAAAGATATGTACTCTAGACACAGAGGCAGCCACGTTCAGGCAGGAAATATGTACGTATTCTTTAAAGATGTACACAGATATATAAAGTTTAACAGTCAAATACAAGTAACAAAATATGCTCCCCAAATGCTACAAGTGGAAAAGAAAACACTTGTTCTATCAGGGTTCCTGGTAAGCTGACTTTATAAAAAACCAGATCTCATCAATCACAAAGGTAAAGTTAAAAATGAAAGTCAAGAATTTCCATACCAATGCCTAAATAGAGTGTTCTTGATGGAAACTAACCACAGCTTGATTGTACAGATGAACCATTTCAAACAACTGGCGTCAGAGACCCCCACTGTCCATTCAGCGATGATGATCGTGTCAGACACACGGCTGCCAGGGGGGTGTAACTGCCCCCTCCCAGCCTCCAGTTAGGCGCACCACTTCTCTAATAACAATAAACAATGGATTTTTTGGAGCCAGATTCACTAGTATGACTTGATCTTGAACAAGTTATAATCAAGTGGCATTTTACATAAATTTTAAATCAGCAAATTGAAATATTAATAAAGTCTTACTTTATTTGCAAAATGTGTAATAAATGGGAATCTATTTTTTTTAAATGTGTCAAAAATAGCATTACTTCAAAGCTGACTGGCTGGGTGACCTGTAAACTGGTATTTGGGTCCATGCCAAATGCTAAGACCCATCTAACTGCTATGCAGAAATAGCAGCCAATCTTTGTAAGGATTTGTTTTGTATTATGAATGGTCTTTGTAAAATGCAACCTAAGTCCAAAAAACCTGTACTTAACCTCTTTGCACCTCATTTTTCTCATCCATAAAATGGGTTTAAGAAGACTGAAGGAGATACTCCTTATGCTGCTCAATGTTAGCCATTTTTAAAGTTGATAATATGCTTGTTTCTGTTCCCTTCACTGGGGCTTCGGCATGCCTCCCCTTCAGGGATCTGATTCTACTTAAGTGCTTCATAGCTTCAACTCTTTTTGGCACTTGTGTGTAACAAATAATTGAAACCAATCATGCATACATGTACATGTCAGAACTCTGGAGTGCACGCTATGCTACCTACACCAGGGAATTTACCATCCTTTGCAAGGGGGGCCCGGTACTAGAAAATTCTCCGAGTTTAGGGTAGTAGCGAACAACCAAACTGGATTTGTAGCTAAATGCTCCTGAATACTTTTTATCCCGATTTTTAAATTAGGGTCACAAAAAATACATCAGGTTGTATTTTAAGATCGCTGTCTGAATCTCCTAAGAAATCAGCTATCCTATGTCAACTCCTGAGCTGTAAGTGGGCACCTTTCCCAACTCCCTCCACCAGGTTCAGATGTTTGCTGTCCAAAGGCACAGCCTGGCCCTACAGTGCAAACCACCTTCCACTTGCCTCCTCCATAACTCCCTCTCCTCAAGTCCTTCCCCTGTGTCCACTCTAGGCAAAGCAAAGGAGACCCAGGATCCTTCCCTCCGCCCCCCACAAGGCACTAACGACATGGAGAATTAGATGTGGAAGGAGTTGAGAAGAAATACACAAGACTATGCACTTTCTTTAGCTTGGAAAACCAGCCAAGAAACCCATCATAATGGAGAGTGTAATAGCTGAAGTTTTCTGGCCAAAAATGGGACTAA